CCGAGCGCTTAGCTTTTCGGAGAAGGTCCGAAAGCTTTCTGTAAAACTCATCTTTTACATCATCTGCGCTGCAGTCAGTGGGAGAATAGGCAGAGACGACGAAGAGGCAACGACGAGTGTCCCTATCTTTCCGGATTCTTACTGTTCCGTTCAGTCGGACAGCGCACAAACGACTGTCTACTGGGATCCACTCTAAGAGAGCTAGTTCTGCCCTAGGACTCAATGCTATACCTACGCCGGCGAGGCCACGGGAAGCAGAATCAGGGCTTCCAGATACACGAAGCGTAAATCGAGTCGGTTCTTTATTTTGGCATGGTGAGGTCAAATGAATGACGCTACTCGGATCCTGTATGCGCGTTTCGGAGACGCAGCACACATCGATGGCGCGAGATTCTAAAGTCCTAGCTAAGGAAGCCTGCTGTCCTATTTGGCACAGTGTTCGTACGTTAAAAGCTCCTACGTGCAGTTTAGAGCGTGGTTTCAGGAGACCAGGAATGGCGTTCCACGTACTCGAATCGTTTGCCCTAGCGGTGCGAGGTGATAAAGAGACGTGAGGAGGGTTAGTCGGGAAGATAAGAGAGGTATTAGGAGGTGTAGGAAGGATTTGAATGTGACCACCTTGGTCTCTTGTGCTGTTACGGGTATGAGGGCTGATGTCACTTCCCGGCTGCCCACACCGTGGAAGGGTATTTCTTGAGGAACCTGAAAAGGAAATTGGATTAGTGTTGGTCTTGACGACCTGGGAGCGTGACCGCAGAGCCCAAGGGACAACTGCTTGAGGCCGGTCGCACACGGCCTTTTTGTGGAAGGTTTTTGACGTGTTAGCTCCGTTCTTCAAGGGGCCTTACCGCCGGAGACGGAAATCCGAGAGGTAAGGTGAGGTGTGACATTTTTAGGGTCGACCTTTTCTAACCCCACCCCTCCTTGTGGGAAGGCAGCATCGCTGTCATGCTGGTTGTCCGAGGGAAACACCTTACTGCTATCACACCTCTCTACAGTCAGCAGTACGACTTCGCCCTCAGACCTTGAGTTGCTGCTTTTAGTCTTACCGTTCGCCAATCGACCTGCCTGGCATGGTAGAACCTGCAGGAACATATGTTCCAGCCAATATAGCTCGGTTGGGTCATCACGATAGGCAAGCCCGACCACCGCGTCAAGGTAGCAGCTTCGATCGGGAGCATCACATCAGATGACTGACGTACAAAAGACATATTTAAGTCACAAACATTCAGCTGGTTATCGATTCTAAACTTTCTGTCACCTGTAAGTTCTTTAAAGAATTTCCACATACTTGGAGAGTTTTTGCAAGATAAAAGCTTTTGAGTAAACATACAGTTGAGACGTCTAATCTCTAGGTTTATCAGACCATTTAGCTTACGAACTTCATTAGAGTTCTTCTCCTTGTACATTCTTTCTTTCATCCTTCGTAGTCGTTTTAGTTGTGAAGATGTAAGTCGATCAAAACTTACAAAAATGGTTTCGGTGGGACAACAAATATCAAAACAGAATTTAAGGTAACAAGTGATAACATCAGTAGTGTTTTCGAGTGAGTCATCTGTAAATAATTCCCAGTTAGTCGTATGAAACATGTTTTTTTCAGATTTCGGATATTTTCTTCTGAGTAATTCCTATATTTGACTTTTCTGGTTTGACGTAGGAGTGTACCATTCTCATGCTTTCCATATACTTTAGGTAGAACATGAATTATACAGTGATCTGAGCTAGACAATGGAGGACGTTTACGAGTCGCATATATACCCACATCATTAATGAAGACGGAGTCTAAATGAGCATCCAAACTGGTAGGGAAATCTACTACATTTTGGTGACCTAGTGACGTAAGGAAGCTACAGCCACATGAATTGAAATCACCACATACAACTGAAAGTGAATCACTGAAGGCAGTAACAGCGAACTCAGTGAATTCATCAGCAAAAACAGATAGTGCAGATGATGTGCAATCTGGAGTCACGTAGATATTAATCACATAAACATATTTGTATTTATTCAGATGTTTTGGACGACATCTTAGAGTTAGACAGTCGATAAAGTCATTTGAAAACTTAAAACACACAAACGAAGATCGACATCAGTTTATGTTTACAAACGTAGCTACACCGCCACCACACCTCTTTTTATTGTTCGATCGATCCTGACGATGAATTTTAAAATCACGTAGTGATACAAGGCAGTCATCCTGTAAATCATTCAACCAAGATTCTTGAACTGTGATGACACCACAATTACGATACGTATTTTGACTAAGTAAGAATTGCAGATAGTCCACTTTGTTGATTAGTGATCGGCAGTTAGAATTTAGTAGCTCGGGAATTGACATATGATTATTGTTCATTCTCTTTAACGCATATTGCCAACCACCACGATGCCTTTTATAGTACTTTTTCGTAACTTGTGCAGCGGAAGGTCGTAGGCTTTTCATAAAAGCGCCGGAATAGGTTATGCGATTAATGGACATAATTATAAATTAAAACAAATGAAAAAACAGATAACTTGTTGAAATAATCAGATGGCAGAAACAGGTAGCCCAGATATTCAAGCAGGCCGCGAGTTCATAACATAACACAAGAACTGATATTTCGATAATCCAATAATTTTTCTGGATTATAATGATAGGAAGTATTGCGTCAACTATCCATGGATAATGTTCGGTACTTAGTGTTCCACTGATTGTAACCATACTTTATTGTGTATAAGTGCCACCTGTGTAAGTCCGATTAAACCTTGAAGTTTATTGACAATTTACAAAGTTGTACAACTCAGTCCATACTCCAATCTTATTATATGTATGAATGTGAAACAATTATGCTCATAAATTAGGCCTCGTGGTAGCTGTCTAGTTGAAATACAATGCAATACTCATAATACTTGCAACCAGAAATAGAGTATTTTGCATTTTTCTCGATTGTCAACCAGTATGAGCCAACATGTTATTCACCAATCCATTAATAAAATAATCTTTAACAAATACATGACTACAGATAATTTTGACGTTATCCAAGTCCCGAATTAATTCATGAAAGTGGTGTTTAGTGATTGTTTAACGAACTGTCTTAGAACGTGTGGGAAGGAGTCGAAATTCTAGTATATCAACGATACTACAATGAATGTCTGTATTGATTCTGAAGGTCTGACACTGTGATTTAAGTGATGATTACAATTTCGATTTTCGCTTTGACAGATTCTTATATAAATATGAATATCAAAAACAGATAAACAGAATATGAACTGCATATGAATGACAAACTCATTCACAAAATACATGTTTGTATATCCATAAATCATTTAATGAATTCTTATCTAATCTAACCTGATAAATATTACAAATAACAAATATGCTTACATGAAACACATGAAATTAATCATTTGAACAAAATACCACAAAATATGCACTAATGTATGAAAGTGTACAAAATAACACTGAGAAATAGTATATAATAAAAGTTATTCAGATGAAGTCCTCTGAGTTGAGATCCATTGTTTCCTTCGTTACAATGTGACTGATTCGTGTATGGTCCGATACAAAGCGAGTACATGGTTGCATGTGCAATAAATGTGTTATCCAATGAAGAATGAAATAGTTCACTGTAAGGTCCATTAGCATAAATCGGTACATCCTCAGCACTGTGTGTAGAAAAACTGAGTGTCACTAATGATTCTGCGGTATAGTTGCTTGCAAATCTATCTTCTGTTGCCGGATCCGATCGAGGTGCATCCAATATACCTCTTGGTCCATTGAAATAGGAAGATATGAGATATGATTTATTATCATCTCCCTGTAACACAAAACAAAGCAATATTAGATAATTTCATTCCACTGAGTGTATCAATGTTTCTTATATGGTCTACTTTAATTGTATATCACACACTATTCGAATCCGTTATAATATTATCGATGACAGAGACGTGTAAGTTGGGATACCTTGAAAAGTAACTAGGTTGTTCTAAATGACTATACTTTTCCTCAAAATCTTTCAACATTTTGATTTTCCAATGTAAAGAAGAGTAGATATTCAGTGACTATATTAAATGTTTCGAAGAAACGTTACTGTGTGATACAGGGAAAATACCATTAATTTCTGTGATACATCAGAAAATCTACTTTATACTTTTCGAATATAAACCCATTTACAAAGACAAGTGAAAGTCAGGGTGATTGTGACCTCTCATCACCAGCTGACCACGACTTAGATTTCGCACGTAAACATACAGTATAAATTATAGTCAACACTATAATTGGTGAATTACCATCATATTAATGACATTTAGTTGTTAAACAGTTATTTGTGAAAACACGTATTTACGTCAATTTTCCGTTGGATACATTCAATGAGGTCATTTTCAGTTACAAATTAATGATTTCGAAATCGAGCACTCCGAGACAAATCGATCATGTCATTATGCATAGCATATCCCTTTACTGTCTCCAATTTTAACTCTCATCAAAATTTAATTAAATTTCATCAAGTACACGATGCCGATACGAACAAGGGTGAATTCGAACAACATTATTATTATTATTATTGTTATTATTATTATTATTATTAATTACAATAATAATAATAATAATCGTGTAAAGAAGAAGAATTCCAAATACACATGAGCGATTAGAAATTATGATACTCAGATATATAAGTATGCAAGTACGTCATTGCGCTCTTTAAGTAAATAACATTTAACCTACTAAGATGTGTATATATGTTGGTTGCAACTGGTGATTAGTCACACATACTCACACAAGCCTGTAAATGATAAAGTAAAGATATAGGCAAATAGTTACCGACACAAGTGAGACTACCTATTAAGTAAGTTATTCAGAGGTCATAATAAACATAAACGCATACAAGCTCAAGTGAAGGTGAGATCGCTGTAATGTAACAAACTTATGTTATTATGTTTCAATTGTTAAATGGAGAGAATCTGTTGTCGAATTTGTTGATAAAATATGTCAGCGATAAGGAAGTAGTCAATCTTTGGTTTGCCTCCTGAATATCTGACCAACACCGTATTCGGTTAGAAACATCTCGATACTCATTAAATCCGTTTTGAGACTGGATTTCATGAGGAATATATGTCAACTGAAGGACCTTCACAAACATCTCAAGCAAACGGAAACTCTGTTTACAGTCAGTAATTGTAAACATTCTTTGCCCTAAAAATTGTTCCGGTGTTATACTTGAGCTTATATCTTCGATCTTACTGTTGACAAACCTTTCAAATGGATTGCAAACAACCAATCATCATGCAACTTCGATATTATTCTCCAGTATCTTAACTAAATTGAGACTGTTTGTTGAATGTTGACATTATGTACTAGCTAAATAAAATTTATTATTTATATTGTTGTCATTCCAACTATCTCGATCCCTCCCTCTTACTCCTATCTAAAGTGATATCTGAAGCTAATTATTGATTTTCGCATTTCACTAATTCGTTTTAATCATAAATCTCTTTGTAATGTGAACATACATTTGACACAATCTGTTCACAATTCGATCTGTGAAATTCTCATAAATTAAGACAGTTTTCTAATAAGTCATATTCGAACATGTGATTTTACTGTTGAATCTAACTTTCGAGTAGATAATTTGGAGTACTGATTTGCTTAGTATACCAGTAATGACGACAGAAAAATAAAAAATGTGTTGGTCACATTGATTGTCAATTATATGTCAAATCATATTTTATTAAGTAGCACACATGTGTTTTTTAGTTGTATATATATCCAAAATCAATACATGAGAGGCAAAATAAACCAATCACATCAAGTAGGCCCTTATAATTAACACAATACATCACAATCGTATGATAGTTCGATATCGTTATTTAGTAACTGTAATAGATTCTTGTTTACAGGTATAAGTAAGAAGCGATTCCAACACAATAATCAGGGACGACTAGTCATAGCAAATTAACGATGTGTTATAACAATTGCCGATCGGAATTTTAGAATAAGAAAACTATAAAAATTGACGACGGAGTTATTTTACAAGTCTCAGTTTCCAGTTACAACTCAGTCGATGACTCATTAGTTTCTAATGAAGTGCTTGATAAATTTGAGAAAACTATTTCAAATCAATCAACTGAATTCAGTAGCCAAATATTTTTGGAATTGAGATATTTTTCTAAGCGTCAATTCCATTTGCTACATGTAATCTATACTCTCTCCATTTCGGATTGTCGAATTTTTAGAGAGAGAGGTCTTATTTTCAATTGTTAAGTACAACAGCTATTTGTAATTAAAATAACCTATTCTGTTCCCGCATAAAATAAAGAGAATTCAGCGAAAATTTTCTTCTCGTCAAAATCATATACTTCAGCCGTACCTTCGTATTTATAGTTGTATAATAAATATGTCGCAATAGAAGGATAGAAGAGATTGCATTATACAGCGATTCAATACCCTAGTCATCAAGTGGTGGTACGTAATGATCAGGAGGTTAGGGAAGAATATAAGGATGAAAATAATTGACAGGTCAGAAAGATGTAATACAATTGTCCACTTATATTCTTCTCTAACCTCCTGATCATTACGTAACCTCACTGGATAACTAGTCTCGAATCTCTTATAACCTTCTACATTCATATGTTTACCATACAACTATAAATAGGAAGGTACAGCTGAAGTAAATGATTTCGTCGAAAAGCTATTTTTAAATTGATTTGTATTGGTAAGAAACCGTTCCCCGTTTACACAAATGCTTAAAAATCAAACGGGGTTAACACTTACCTTTGCAGTGTTATCCACATCTAGCACACTTGTATCCCTTGTCGGATAGCCGACCACTCCATAAACGTGAGAATGGTCAGCTGTTACTAGCAGTAGTGTTTCTTGTTGATTAACAAGTGACAATGCTTTCTCGACGGCTTTTTCGAACTCCAAAGTTTCAGTTAACGCATATCTTTGATTAACATGAAAATAAGAAGATAATCATGTGGTCATTTCATAAATGAATAAATCAAATGTATCTCAGCTTTATATAAACAGCATTCGACATATAATATTTGGTTATACAAATGAATGTAACCTACATTCAGCTAAAATAGATTAAATTTGTCATTACGATTCATATTAAATATAACGGCCAAAATATGGTTTCTGTTATCTCAGTTTACACTATCGATCAGAGGATCACCTTACAATGTAGTATGTAGTTAATAGCCTTTAAGTGAGCTAACCACTAGAATCGATTGCAACACAAACATTTAAGTATTTGTCACATGAGAAAGCGACAGGAAATACAGTTTATTTAATTTTGACATCATTTATATTTCAGCTTGTAAGATCTCATCGCTCGTTCCTTTCAGCACTCAGTTAGTTAACAAATTAACCTAATCATATGTTGCCTGAACTAAAGAAATGATCCTGTTTCACCTAGACAGTTTTATGGAGAGTTTGTTTACTTGAAAAGAGTTTTTACTAAAAAAACTGATACCTATGTATTGTAGGTTCTATATGTATGCCATCTATGGAGTTCAGTCACTAATACAGATTGAGTTTACAGTAACCATGAAATGGTCCAGTTTAAATTTTTGTACAGCTTATCTTCACTCAGTCAGCTAAAGAAATTATGGCAGTTAAGTTTTAGAAAGTGTCTTGTTAGCGAAACAAAGATAATGGCGAAATAAATAACTTTCCATGTCTTGATCCAATGGCTAAGAATAAGACCAACAGAAAATGGTTAAAAACCTTTAGCAGATTAAATTTATGTGAAACTGCGCTTATCTTTGTTGTATGACAACATTTTAACTTTGTTGTTATGCTGAGCAGAAGACGTGGGAATTCGCTTATGTGGAAATCTAATAATATTACTAATAACTTGAAAGTCGGAACGTCGAAACATTACTATTTTATAGTGAAACCCTTAGGAATATCATTTAGTAGTTGTGCACAGTAGTCCATAGATTAAAGCTAATAAAATAAAGTTGATTGTTGCCTTTTGTCAACTGACTAGAATATCTGTTGTACAACCAAATAAAAAGTCTTCTTGTGTGATTATAGACGATGTTCAACTGAATCGTTAGACAATTACTACGATATTTTATGCCATAAACTTCTCCGTTGTGTAAATTCAAACGACACATGTTAGTAAACAATAATCTTTTCTATTAGGTCTTCATCAGGCTTCATTCTAACGTGTAGTATATGTCTACATGAAAAATATTATATCAATTAAGGAGATTCGTCTACTTGTATCTCTTCACCCCTTTCCTATCCCCACTTCACCAATTGTGTATTTAAGCTCACTTCTTATTGATTAATTTTAATTGTTATTACTATAATAAGTCTATTTTCCCGGATCTTGACCTATCTATCTGCCAACCGGTATTTTAAATATTTATCCAAGCTGTTACCATTCATATCGTGAATAGCACACCAGTCAGCATACTACCAATTTTTACATTTCAATTATTATAATTAATTAGGTAACGTATTTCATTGTTATGACTGACTGCAATATTCCCTTGATTGGGTTAATACCTTTTATAAATGCATATAGACATTACTGCATATTGGAGTAAAGCCTGACCAAGATCTAAATGAAAACTATATCTGAAGTTCAAACAGATTTACATACTTTTGGTCAAATATAAATTATTTGTAAAAACATGTATTCACATTTATTTTCTTTTGTGTACTTCCGCATAGCTAAATTCTATTTAAAATTAATGACAAAATGTCAGCTAACAGTTTGTAGGAAGTAACTATCTATAGATGAATTTCTTGAATAAGTCCCAATACTGTTAAACACATAGTCTTAGTAGGGCTATAGTTAAGAATTATAATCTATTTCTAAAATACTAATTAACACAGTTAGTACAAAAACGCAAAACATTAGTCATTTGCAAAGAGAGCAATAAACATACTCATACCGAACAGTAGCAGAGATGGCAAAATGAATCAATCAGAAGTCATGTTTATATAATAATAAATGCAATTTCATAGTTGGTAGTTAAATAAAAATGATTATAATAATATCCAGTCCAGGATTAAACGAGTCGTTTAACTCAAATATTATTATCAGTATAGGGTTATGGAGATTGTTGAGTTTTCATAGAGATCAATGAGCGATCAATGATAGATCACCACTGAAAACTTGGAAGCACGGCCGTCTAGTGCTTCCAGGTTTTCAGTGGCGATCTAACGTTGATCGGTTCATGATCTCAAATTTTATTCGCTGATTCAGTCTTATCGATAGAGACTAACATTCTTTCCCTTTAATGATAGTTTAGTTATTAACTGATGGATTTTGTTGCTGATTAGAAATAATAAAACAAGATTAATGGAAAACATATTGTTGTGGTGCTATATCGCTCATTGTAACATCCTGAGGTTCCATCATACTTTAGTCAGAAATACAGAAAATATCAGAAATTTATCAGTGAGGTAATCTATCGCTTATAATATGAAAATTAACTAGTGTATAAGACAAACACCATGAAACTTGGGCAACATTTATTTGCAACATCAACTGCCAAGCAAGTACAGTACTTTGTATTTTGCCACTGAACACAACTATTTACATTTTATTTCAGAAAACACTTTATCTGGATGATTATCACAGATATGTTTTATTACCAGAGTTTACTACTGGATTTAACACTTGTGTATGACTCAGAGTAAGTCGCCGGATCTATTACTGTGATTTCAGTCAATGCATTACTCTCAAATCATATTTATTGTTAGTTTTCAGCATCCGGGATAGAATAAAATAAGCAGAAAGTCTGATACGAATAAATGCGCAACATTAACCGAATTTTGTATAAGAACATGTAACCATTAAAGACTTACATATTTCATTTCAAAGACAAATAACAATGTAACAAAAATAGTAATTTTAGTAGTGTTAATATAATAATAATAATAAAGAATCTCTTACTGGGCCTGATTAACATGATGACCATGATCAATTCTACCTCCTTCCACTAACAAAAGAAATCCTTTTGGATTACGAGAAAGTACTTTGATAGCAGCTTCTGTCATTTCTGCTAAACTTGGTTGGTCTTGGTTTTCCAGTTGATAAGCCATGTTACTCGGAGCAAACAAACCTTCAAGTCAAAAAATAACGATAAATCTGAATGAAACATAGAAAGTCAAATGACATTGATGGTAAATTAATATTTATTAAACTCATTAAATCTACATTTAAACAAGTATTAGTCGTCCAGCCATAATGAAGCCATAACAGTTGACAGTTATGTGAAAACTTTAAAGCTTTAAACACAATAATTTGTTGACAATGATTGAAAATTCACACACAGTGATAATGATGTTCATTTTAACGTTTGAACAATTCCTAATATCGTTGTTTGTCAAAAAAATCTTTATATTTAAACAGAAATGAATCACAAATCATCGCTAAGTATTCATAGTTCCACACACATTATGAGATGACAACTTAAAAGCAATGAAACACTACTTGAGGATAGTAAGACTTACCTAGAACGTAATCGACTGAGGACCAGCTAGTTCGTTTAAACTCATCGGTTGTATGTAAGAGAACATGCTTGCGATTCATTTTGGTCTGCATATCTTTCCATTCTTGTAGGAGGTTGCGTGAATCAGAGCGTTTTCCTTTTTTGTTAAAAGCTAGAGTGCTCGACTTGCCATAGAATTCGGTTGCCCCTCCTCCCATTATAACGTTGACGTGAGAAGCGTTCGTCAGTAGTTGTGCAGCAGCGTCTGTGCAGTGAAATCCGCGCTTGTTTGATGGGCTGAATGAGAAAGAGGAGAAATAAGCCATCTTGATGATATGAATGTGATGAAACTAGTGATTTGTAGTAACGTTCAAAAAAAATAAGGTATGAGTTTGGCGACATCTAGTCAGGAAATAGTATTCTGAAAGATGCCTTGAGTACATATTGTGTAGTTTGGATTTTGTGACATGAACAAAAAATAAGGTACAACCAAGATACTGATTGACGACCACAGGTCAGTATATTTTTATATCACGACCCCGAAAATCGAAAGAACTCATGTTTTAAGTCTGTACAACTTTAACATCACGACTTTCAGACAAGAAATATACGATGTGCTTTCTGTGTTAAATCATTAAACAAGAGTATCAGTACGTCAAATATTAACTTCCTAAGGGGTGTAGATGAAGCAAATTATTACTCTTTATTTTTGTTTTAACAAGTGTATTACTGAGATTAGACCTTAAAATGTTTACAAATTTTGTCAAGACATTGTAATTTTAATTAATGCGGTAAACTGAATAATAAAAATGGTCATGTTTGACACCAATAAAGATATATCGCTAAGATAATATTCAATCTACTTACTTTATGTTAGTATTGTAGTGCATTTACACGTCAATGTAATTAATAAACAGTGGGGATTCTGTTGTAGTTAACAACAAGTTACGTCGTTAGTTATCCTGAATTTTCTGGTATCATTTGTAACACATTATAATAATTAGAAGCATTTGAATTAATTTGTGAATTCGTCATAGGCGCGCAATCAAGTACAAAGCAATCATCAGTAATAAAAATACCACATACATGCATTCTACGATCCACTGACAAATACTGTATGTGGTCAAATAAGAAATCGCACTATAACAGATGGTGGCTGATCTGAGAATGTTTCATTTAGTTACGAATTTACATGTTAGTTGTCAGGAATCCATGGACCCAATTTTCGTGCTAGTTGGCATTCTTCAGCAAAGATTACACGAAATCTTGTGTGAACTAATGTTCTCTATATGGTCTTGACTCAATTAGACTAGTGGCAACATTACAACTTGATTCTTAGAATTTGCTTAGCACTAAATGATTAAATAAGCAAGGCAATAGTCACTACCTGGTGATTAGGCGATAGTAAGTGTTTTAGTTTCTAATATTTTGGTTAAATTGGCACAACTGAGGACAGAGGACAACTAAAATACCCAATTTGTATCTATAAGTTTCTTATGTAATATCTTGGAAGATGATTTTGTCCTCGTATCATTTATAGACGTTTCTCGTACTAGTTCTGTCACCCTATGTTTTAGCTTTACTAAATGATAAAATGTAATTTTTGTTCAACCAAAAGGTCTCTTTCACGGTGATGTATTTTCATTTTGAAGTCGATCACACAACATTTATAATTACATGCAGTAATCTTGTAAAATTCAATCTCAGTCTCACCAAAAGCTACATGAATAAGTGAAGTTCGAGCACGTACATCCTGTTTACCCATCTCTTACAAATAAATCAACATCAGAAATTAATAATTTTCAAGAAGTGATATCTTTCAGTTCGAACTATCAATAATAACAAATATGCTTCCCAGTAGTATTTATGCTGATTTTTAACTGTTTCAACTATGTTGAGAAAAAATGGAGGTACTACATTTCTCTCATTGATTCGTCAACAGTATATAACTAAAAAAATGTAAATAAACTTCATGTTGATTGTTAATACAATTAAGTGGTTTGCTAATTTTCCGTTTGAGCTTCATTTCATCATTAGAGAAAATCAATAGGCTGAAGTTACTAAATACCAATCGATATACATGTTGCCCAAATTATCTCCATAAGTGAGAAAACAAACATACAGGTAACCAACTTTAATTTCCCTTCCTTCTCTAAAAGATAACCTAAATAACATTAAAGTAACTAACCAACTAAATTGAAGAAAAAATTAAAATCTAAGCCTTGTGCTTAAAGTCAGTTATCTATATTTATTGTATCTTAACGACCAAACTATACGTGCTTTCCAGATTATTCGAATAAGTTTCATTCCTGTTTAAAAAAACGAACAATGTCTCATACTTAAATGTATTTGTTGTGATAATAGAAGCTATTTTGTAATATATTGACAGAAGATTCATACGAAATCATAACAGATTCTGCATACTAAGCACATTCTAACGATTCGACATCAGGTGTTAGCTTCGGTTAAAGTATTTATTCGAAGAAGACCATCTTTCATGAGTTATCTCACTGAGAAATAAGATTAATTTTAAAAAGAGTAAGAACAAAGGTTGGTGCAGAATAATATGAATTCATTTTATTTCGTTAGGTTCTCATCAGCTGCTTACAACCTAAAATATTTGAAATTCAACGTTATTATAGATATTGACATACTTATACAACAGAGGGCGATGAAGGATGAATATATGTAACATAATGTGGTAAAGATTTCGTTAGAGTGATTGAGGTCATAAAATTTTTTTTTGTTTCGAATATATAGAGTTTGGGAGGGAAGGTTCCAGAAAATTGAAATAGTGATTAGAAATCATGGAATTAAAACACATTAGACGATTATGTAATGAGGTAACTGAAAATAGATTAATGTTAATAAAGAGAGATATGAATTGAAATTGGTCAGTTATGAGTGATGTAATTATAAAATTCAGAAAGAGTTGAAATGACGTAATAAAAATAAATAAAATAAAATAAAAGGGGGTGGGGTGAATGTTACCAGGGCAAAGAAAGATTTATTACTGTTTCTTTTTGTATACAAAGATCTGGTTTCAAACGTTTGATTGCTATTGCTTCCGCGAATTTCAAAAGGTTTGAATTTGATTGTTTGTTGATCACCCTGAAGGAATATGTCCGAAGAGTTTGAGATCAAACGGACTAAAAGCATTCAGCAGCGCTGTCGCAAGACATCTCATTGACACAGGACACGAAGTCGATATACTGAAGTCCTTCAGGGTGATCAACAAACAATCAAATTCAAACCTTTTGAAATTCGCGGAAGCAATAGCAATCAAACGTTTGAAACCAGATCTTTGTATACAAAAAGAAACAGTAATAAATCTTTCTTTGCCCTGGTAACATTCACCCCACCCCCTTTTATTTTATTTTATTTATTTTTATTACGTCATTTCAACTCTTTCTGAATTTTATAATTACATCACTCATAACTGACCAATTTCAATTCATATCTCTCTTTATTAACATTAATCTATTTTCAGTTACCTCATTACATAATCGTCTAATGTGTTTTAATTCCATGATTTCTAATCACTATTTCAATTTTCTGGAACCTTCCCTCCCAAACTCTATATATTCGAAACAAAAAAAAATTTTATGACCTCAATCACTCTAACGAAATCTTTACCACATTATGTTACATATATTCATCCTTCATCGCCCTCTGTTGTATAAGTATGTCAATATCTATAATAACGTTGAATTTCAAATATTTTAGGTTGTAAGCAGCTGATGAGAACCTAACGAAATAAAATGAATTCATATTATTCTGCACCAACCTTTGTTCTTACTCTCTTTAAAATAATAAAGGGAACTATGTGTAAGATTAATTTTCACTAATCATAATATCAGAAGCTCAGGAAATTAGTAAACAGATGAAAATTTGTTTATTCAATTGAAATCGAAAGTGTAATTGTTTTCGTGAATGGCTACTAGTTCTAAAGTTTGTATATCTAGTCAGAAAATTGCTATAGTAAGCTTTGTCTGTATAGCTTTACACATTAGGATAGATAATTTCCTTTAACTAATAAGTAAATAAATAGCCATAATGATAAGAAAATATGTATTTACCATTTTATTCCACATTTTTTAATCGAAATCTATTTAAATCTCACGAATTTTGGGTTTTATTTACACGCTACAGTAAAACATTGTCTTCTAACAGTAATGCTTCTTAGTTTGCATTACACAAAACACTGACTGTAAACGGGGTTCATTGGTCTAGTTGGCCAAGCGCCCGGCGCGAGACTGATAGGTCCTGGGTTCGAATCATGCGAGGCGGGGTTGTGGATGAGCACTGCTGAGGAGTCGCACAATAGGACGAAACGGCCGTCCAGTGCTTCCAGGTTTTCCATGGTAGTCTATCTTCAATTGACTCATACTCTCAACTATTGAAATTACTACAATCTCTACAAAAACCTTCTTCTGATTACAATAAAAACATGCACACGTAATCTAGGTACCTTATCACATTAAAGTTATACGTAAACGTAAAGTCATTGTCTAACATAATTTGCACTCACCCTACTGACTCCCAATTTCGATGTAACATATTGGCATATGCTGCTGCAGGTGTTGCATGAGTAACCTTCGTAGTTGTAACTATTCCAGTGGAAAATCCTGCTTTAGAGGCATACATGAGAGAAGATTTCGCTCTTTCCACTTCTGTTAACTCAGTACATTCACAGCACTTCACTGTTCCCGTGATACCAACAGTGCCATCTGGTCCTTTTACACCTGAAAATGTTTTAATCAGTATAACATGTAGCTGAAATATCTCATCAATTAAAACAACAGAAAACTAAATTGCTATGTGTGCGGTTTTGCATACAACTCATCATAATAAATCCATTCATCTTTGATAGTATAATGATTTGCTCATAGACTAGCATCTTACACTTCCAACTCAAGTTAAATCAACATTCCTTTGACTTATATCAGTGAACTATGAAAACTGTATTTGACACTTAACCTTCTGAAGTCTTATTATGTACACTTCAAAACATGTTCTTTGTTTGAAATGTACTTTTATTATTATTATTACTATTATTATTATTAGTGATGGCTATATTCAATATTATATTTTGGTACAATATAGAATTCGATTCTTCGAAGAGTATTCAGTATTTCAAAAGTTTTAGTCTAGCAAATTTTTCATTATTGATAAATATCAAATGGGAAACATTGTAGAAGAAGTATCACTGTCCACTGGTTATTCACCTTAATTTAGCTCATGAATTCATAATCAAATACAAAGCTTTTGGATTATCACATGGAGAATAATATTATTGAATCACTCAGATGTGAGCTAATGGTTTTCGGTTACTGATTTCGATCAATTTGATGTGATCATTACTGTTAATCGATAACTAATTAATTTTCTACCTAATTGGCTCTATATGGCTTAACCTCCCATACGAACTCCAACGAAGCTCATAATAAGGTGAACCACGAAGAGGAGATGAGTTTTTATCTCTACTGCAATCGGCTTTCTCCAGATTATAAAATTATGGGAAACTCGGATCAGTATAAGTACTCAATGGAGTGAGAACTTCATTAGTGGATATTGGATAATTAAATACTGATCAGAAACATCAAAATTGATCTGTACCACACCTACGTGGATCTGAATAAGATCTCCCATAAAAGGTAATCAATCTGACTTGTATGTGGAACTAATTATACATTTATCTGTTCTCCCGAAGAATTACTGAAGCGATTTGATAAACGAGACTACCTACAGAAAAGTAAATCACAAAACATTTCAAGTGCATCTAAATTCATTTGCTTCAAATATACACATTGTTCTATAATCGACGGAACGTTTCGACTAGTATTACACAGGGTGTATATTGTTATCTATTAGCAAATTATTCTATCATAGCAATGTTTAAAAATAACCTCCTGGCACACACAAATGATTCTTTCTTCAATACTTAAAATACTAGGACTCATTGATCTGGTAATATAGTGAATAAAATATGACAATGTAATTACAATAAGGCATGTATTAGTAGCTGTTTCATTAAAAACATTAGTTCACCTCACAACTTACCTGACATAAAAGCAGTTGCCGCAGAACCTGAATCTGTCGTCAGTCTGTCTGAGTTGAATGTACGGACAAGTGATGCAACAGGCCAGTTTTCCCATTCTAACTGTACATCACCACCTAAAAGATTCATCTTCTCCGCTTTCAAATATCTTGCTCCAGTAACAGTGCTCAAGCTCATACCATCCCCAATAAATAAGATGATATTTTTTGGTCGTTTCAGTGATGAGTAATATAATGATTGTTCAAATTTACTAAATCTCTCAACTGCCAACCTCTTCCAAGTTTCTGGATCTGTTACATCCAATGATGACGATTTACTCTCAATTTTATACTGTGATAGTATGACTGCTATGAAAAATAGCAAGCATTTCGAAACTGTCGATAAGACGGTAGGAAGCATATCTTTGTCTTACGAGGTCTACAACTTTTGTCGTTTGATTTGGTTCGTTTAAATACTGTTTCAAAAACCGAAACTTTCTAACATTTTGTCATACACTGATTTCTCATTGGCTCATTTTTGGATTATCTAACAAATATGTGTAAATTGTAGACTTCAACCATTCACATGATGCGGATTGCATCCATTATTCTAAACTTCAATGGGTTAGTTTAATTGATGTTGAACTAAACACTATGTTAAATTGTTTATTCTCAGTAATAGTTTTATTATTCTACCTATCAAGACTATTGTGGTGTTTGAATTAACTAATGATTCTTTTGTACTTGTTGAATGCTCGATTTCGAATTCTAAATACAGTACATTCGTTGTGCCTGTGTCTTCTTAATTCAATTGCGTTAATCCTGGAATTCCTAATTCATACTATAATTAGAATACTATATTGGCGTCGCGATGGAGCCTGCAATGGAAAAGTTAGATATTCATTCAACTTCAGAAGCTTTTGAAGATTACTTTGAAAGGTTCGAAATCTGGGCTATGACCAAGGAAGATGATGAGGATGTTAATATTGTGGCACACTTCCTCACATTCATTGGAAAAGAAGCATACAGCTTATTAAGAACTCTGGCTATGCCGGAAAAACCCATTTAGCTTTCTTATACAGCTCTCAAGGATCTACTGCTAGACTATGCTCAGTATACAAATTTCAAATGTCGTAAAGGAGGAAGATTTCGTAAAATGATTCATGAGGATATAAAAAAGTCCACTACATTACTACGTCATCTCAACCTAGTGCATACTCAAGGTTATGCAGACAATTCATTGAATTTGGATGCAGTTCACGAGGATGGGGACAAGTTTGGTCAGTGTTTGTCCTGTTGCAAGTTCCACTCTTCTAATTCATGTCAATTTCATAATTCTAAATGCTTCAAATGTCGTGATATTGGACAAGTTCAGTCAGTTTGTAATGCTAATGTTCATCTTACTGCAATTAATATTAAGTCTTGTAATTCTGATTCTACTGAGTCGAGTATTCATGATGATCATTTATCTTTATCAACGATTTCAAAAGACAGTGCAGAGTCATATGACAGTTCAGAGTTAAATGAAATTCAGAATTCTTGTGAGACAACATTTCCTAATCAACCGATTTATCAGAATTCTCATGCTATTGTACCAAGTATGACTTTTCCTAATGATTCACATATTTCTAATGAAATTACTTGCAATTCTGAGGAAAATATGTTAAATGAACCTGATCATGATCGAAAACCTGATGTGGTTTGGATAGATGCTGATTTTTCTAACGATCCTACGCTCTGCAATGACAGTCCTGATGAATTTCATGAGAATATTTCAGAAGAATCAAATCCCGATGTCATATCATATATTACCTATCCTCATAATGTATTTGATCTTCGTGAAAAACCTGCCCAATGCGAAGCACGAGTACTAAGTGACCTCGAGTTTTATTATATTTCGGATGATTTCATATCAACTGCTGTTTACTCTTATCACAAAAACAGTTCTAATGTTTACTCTAAACAATGTGAGATATATGTTTTAAATGAAGCCACATTATTCATAACTTGGGAGTATAAAGATCCAACATTATTTCGTGGGGGGGGGATAGTGTTGAAAAATCTATGGTTCGAATTCTAGATATTAATGATTTCATTACAAAACCCACATGCTGGTTGTATACAATTCCAGGTGAGTCTGTTCCGATTTCGTTTGTTAATTCCAATACTAATGAGCACTTTCTAGATACTACAAAGTTTTTATCTTATACAATGTCGGACAGACTCAGGATGAACTTAACAAGAAGACGTACAACCGATTACAAACACTTATACTTCTATTTAAGCTGTGGCGGATGTGGTGTTTGAATTAACTAATGATTCTTTTGTACTTGTTGAATGCTCGATTTCGAATTCTAAATACAGTACATTCGTTGTGCCTGTGTCTTCTTAATTCAATTGCGTTAATCCTGGAATTCCTAATTCATACTATAATTAGAATACTATAACTATGTAAATTGATATTTTTATGCCCTGAATACTGCTTTTGATGCAAGAGGTTGCTGAAAATAAAGTTAGATGATAGTGAATATTGCAGCAGTCAAAGATCATATATGCCCTATAGTGTTTTTATGAACTAATGATTTCTTTGTACTGAATATCTGTCTGACTTCAAATTCCAAATACAATACATTCGTTCGTGCTCATTTAATACTTCTTGTTTAAATTACGCAACTAATGGGATTCTTAATTTTTACTATAATTCAAGTACTTATAATTATCACATTGGCATCGCGATAGAGCCAGTGATTTAACAGTTGGACATTCATTCAACTTCTGAAGCTTTTGAGGATTATTTGGAAAGGTTTGAAATCTGGAACATGACCAAGAATGATGTGATAAAATTGTGGCGCCTTGTTTTACATTTATTGGAAAAGAAACATGCAGTTTGTAAAAATCTTTGGTATATCCAGAAGAGCCCATCTCACTTTTTTATGCAACTTTTAAGGAACTACTATTAAATCATGTAAATTGCACCAATTTCGCATGTGGTAAGAGAGCAAAGTTTCTTAAGATAATTCGTCCGAATAACCAAAACGTTAAGGAATTCATCAATGAACTGCAAAAACAAGCTGCCCAATGCAGTTTTGTGATCACCTTCATGTGCAGCTGTGGCGTCGAATAATTGCAGGAATTAACATACCAGTTCTGGAAAAAGAGCTGTTAAGAATGCCGAAATTTTGCTTCCAATATGCTAGAACTGTATGTATTAGCTACGAAGCAATGAATGAACTTGATATCCAATCGGTGAAAATTTCTAATATTTTGCCCAGTCGTCATGATGGAATACAATCTCAGAATCAATCAAATTTGCGTTTGTTTAACAGTGATTCCTATTCTCGTGAAAATATGAAAATGATGCAACAAGGAATCGCAAAGCAAGCCACAAAGGTGAGAGCAAGTTTAGTAAATGTCTATCCTGTGGCAAATTTCATTCTCGTAATTCATTTGCATTTCTTAATGCTAAATGTTTAAATGTGGTACTATAGGACACATTCAGTCAGTATACAAAACTACTATTCATTTTGCTTCAAGCAGTACTAAACCTTGTAATTTAGATCTCATTAATACAGTTGTTCTTTATCCGCCATTTCTAAAGGCATTGTTCATATTCGAAAGGGTGTAGGACCAGTGAAATATCACTGAGCCCCAGCCAAATCATCCGGCAGTTAGGTCACTAAGTATCGAACAGTTAATTGATCCCGTCTATGTCATGGACAACCAACGCGCCTTCGTTAATCGTACGTCATGGACTGGGGCATGCGGTGGTGGCCACACTTTCGCTTGTACCCACTTTAATTAATATATTTATGTAATAACGTCCTTTGTGTTTTACAATCATTAAGGCGTCCAAAGTGCCTTGATACGACGAAGAGGTAATACACCTTAAATGCTGACAGTGAAGTGTGACTTCGACGTTAGCTCTTAATCACACTATTCCCGTCTGACTTGAACAAGCTCCCATTCATTCAGCAAAGATCACCTACGTTGGTGATCTACAAGGGATTATATGCATCACTCAGTTCATTTCATGACTTTATTGTGGACACAAGCAGCACTAGTTTCCAAAACCATTTTGATGCTTTATTTAAGGATTTGATAGCTACATGTGCTAAGTGCAGTGAAGGTATGAAAATTCAGCCTATAAAACTTCAAGTACAGGGTGATCCAGTCTTTCTTAGGAGGTGAATAATTCCTTATGATCTTCGAGAAATAGTACATAAGACATTGAAGTATAATTGAACCGATTCAGTCTTGAGCATGAGGGAATCCTATTGTCACGCCACTGAAGTCGGGTGGCAAGACCCCTAGAATATGTGGTGACTAAAGAATAACACTAAACTCCTGATTGTTTAAGCAAATATACACGTCGGCAGAGACTGAAGATATTCTAAATCGACTTCATGGTTTTAAAATGTTCTCGAAAGTTGAATTGAAAGATGATTATCTTCAAGTCCGCTTAGATTAATTTTCATCTATTTTAACAACATTTAAAACTCCTTTTGGTCTGTTCAAATACAACTTCCTACCATTAGGTCTAAGTTGTTCTCCAGCCATATTTCAGGAAGTGATGAATATGGAAGTTAATGATCTTGAAGATATTGAAGTTTATCAAGACGATCTCATCGTTCATGGTTCTGATAAGGTAACTTATGATCAGAGATTTATTGCTTCATTACGTCGTTTAATCGAGAAGAATATCACGGTGAATCTAAATAAGTGTTCATTTTGTGCATGTAGTTTTGAATATCTTGGGTACCTAGTTGATGGTAATGGTTTTAGACCAGATATGAAACGACTAGCTCCACTGACAAATGCACCGTCTCCAAAAAACCTTACAGAACTACACTCAATAGTGTGTGCTCTTCAATACTATTCCCGTTTTATTCCTAGTTTTTCTTGTCGTGCAAATTGTTTATTTAATATTTTGATATCCAATTCATCCAAATACAGTGAGGAAGAAGAGGCGTGCTTACCGATTTTGTTAAAGTTTTTTCAAAGTGATGCTGTTCTCCGAACTTACTCCCCTAGTGTACATTCTATACTTATTACTGATGCATCACCTGTAGGAATTTGTGCAGTTTTGGAGTAGAAAGGTAGGCCAGTTATCTCTGTTTCACGCAAACTTACTGTTACTGAACAAAGTTATTCACAGTCTCAGAGAGGATCGTTAGCTGTGTTTCAGACTGTCAAACGACTTCATAAATATTTATTCGAAAAAAATTCACCATTGTTACTGATCATGAAGCTTCAAAGATCATTCATAGTACTGAAAAATCCTTAGCACGTTCCTCAGTTGCTATGGTCCAACGAAGAAGCATTGCTTTAAATTCCTCTGAGTTTACGGTTCATCACATGGGTGTTTAAAAAACTCAACAGGTTGACTACAGGTCCGGGTAATCATGACAAGATAGACTTGTTGATACTTCAAACTGTTTGTTAGTGCAACCTTTGCCGGTGAGACGTCCAGATCTCATTAGAGAAACTCGTAGATACTTTGGATGTATACTTAGTGTTATACAGAAAAATTGGAATGCTAACGTGAAACGTATATTTCTTGTCTATTTTTTCAAATCGGGATAAGTTATCCACTACCCCTGATGATATTTTGTACTTAAATAAGCGTGTCCTTATTCCTTCTTTACTACGTAAATCTGTCTTCATAGTGGACATATAGGTGTTGAGAAAATAAAATTCTTCGCAAGGTTCATATGTTCGTTGCCAGAGATAAATGCAGATATACGTCGTATAGCAAGCAATAGTACAAAATGTCGTAAGTTGAAAATTAAACGTTCGAAGTGGTCTTCATGGCCAGCATCGTCTGAAAATTCATGCACACTATTGTGGTTCATATCTTTGCATATAGTATGCACTTGCAGTCATTGATTCTTTTACGAAGTGGCCTGAGATTTCAAGAGAAGACGAAAAACCGATTACAGAAACTTAGATTCAAATATAAGCTGTGGCGGTTGTGGTGTTTGTATGAATTAATTATTTTTCTGTATTATCTAATTTCGAATTGAAAATACAATACGTTTGTTCCAACTGATATAATACTTCTTGGTTAAATTGGGTTATTTCTGAGTATATATAACAATACAAATACTTCTACTCATCACATATATGTATATTCATATTGCTTTCATTATAAGCTTTCGTTTGACCAAGTGGCTACCATTATACGTTTTTTCATTCTGAGATCATTCCCAACCTATTACTGACAGTCTCTCACACTCACAGACACATTCAGATTGATCTAGTACATTTCTTATCTCTTATTCTCTGATGTGATACGGTCTGGCTTACTTGTATATTCACCATGTATGTCTGAAATATATGACTCATACAGTGGAAGCTGAGATTATGTCCTGGGCTCAATGAGCAGTGAAAGGCAACAGTAATCAATAGCGACTCAGAGCCGACTCTAGGCTGCTCATACTGGTTAACACGTCACTGATTTGGCACAGGGCCAGGGTCAAATAAGTCAGTATTATATTGGCGATTTAGTCACGTGATATTTGTAGGTCTACAGAACATAACAGACCTTTCTGTCTTTCAAAGATCTAGTCAGTTATACGCTAGTCACAGACTTTGAAGATATGAAGATATTAGTAAATGGGTAGCTCCTGACACAAATGTCAAACATTTTAGTGAGAAGAAGCAAAAACGAAATTGTTTAGAGGCTGGTTTTTGTGCTTTAATGCCGTGTGGTTGGAGTATAACATGACAGGGAACTATTGCGGGAATGACATTCAAACATACATAGAACCTTTATTGATTTGTACACTGAATATCACTGATACAATTAAACACAGCCGCCTCATTGATCTGTAGTTGCTGATCCTATGTCGAGCCCACATATTTTATTTTAGCTTCTGGACAAAGCAACCTGTCCATTCTCCTCAAGCTATATCTTGGCCTTGTTAATTGTTCGCTTATCAACCTTGTGAGTGCACTTCTCATCTTACTCATCACATGTCTGTAAGTTATTTTTTATCTAATTATAAATATCGATTACATCTTGGTCAAATCAAGTTGACTCTCCACTGTGAGTCATTTTTTTTGCTTTGCTCTTTCCTCATTCCTTCCTTCACTACATCTTTGTGATTGTCTGTTCCGATCAACGGTTGTACAAAATATACGTATTAGAGCTCCATTCTCGTATTTGACTTATTTCATTCCGTTATTCACCAAAGCGATTTAAGTCGATGATTATACACGAGTATTCCCGATTTGTATATCCCAATATTAATCAATAATACGATCTATCTGGACTCAGATCTTGGGCCACTAAAGTCAAACACGTTGCCACAACACCGGGGAGACTATTCTAGATAGTGTTGCTTCTTTTCAAACAATTTAATCTATTTCAGATAACATGAAAACTACATAATGTACAGAGTCTCTCATAAATTAAAAGAACCTTCGATGTTGAATATAAAAGACACAGAGAAATCCAGATTTCCATTTAAACGATTCTGTGCTAGTTGTTCAGATGACACATAAATAATCATTTTTAATTATACACAACACTAAAATTTGGTCTCCAAGTTATCGAATGAATTAGCGTGTTATTTGGATGAACTGACAATGGTTTCTTAGTTGGTTACACACTTTACTCATAACTGTAAAATAATACACCCACGTGCACGTACTAAATTCTCCTATCTTCAAGAACTGTTCCATTCTTAACTACAAGAGTATACACTGGACACATTCGGAAAATTCTACAACGTTAAACATATTCAGTGCCACAACTAATTCTAATCAAAAATTTCTAAACATAATAGTTTCTTATAGCTATCCAAAAATACATAATAACTATCTGAGAAACTGACTGAAAACTTGTTTCTTAATAAAATATCATACATCAGTATTAAGTATTGTAAATCAAATGTAACTTTTCTATGAGTTTAAAAGAAACAAGCTATGTCTCGTGTCTGTAGTATTTCTTTATCATATATAAATAATCAAAGTAAACTTGAAACGAATATCATAGTTGTTAATGACCAAATATTATCGTCCACTTCGTCTACTGTCTACATAATTTTATTTACTCCTAATTGCCACACTTTGAAAATCTCTTGTTATCTGAATAGATAAACTTAAAAAGCACCATTTCTACTCACATTTGTCTAACTAAGAACTAATTTGAAATAAATGGCATGTCAGTTGATCATATCTTAGTGTTTGTTAAAAATACTACATTCTTCAACCTATATTTCCTTTGAAATGTGTTACTTTGCAAATATTTCTCATAAAACGTTAATGCCAACTAAAGAGAATTAAGTTAAAAACTATCTACAATAATGTAACAATATGGTAAATAAATACTTTAACGGAGGTTAATTATATGAAGGATAATTATCATTTCAGTTACATACACATACAATCAATAACAATGATTATATAATAAACTATTAAAAAGATACAACATAATTATAAATGTGACATAAAATTTCAGTGGTAATTGGTTTTTTAGGTCAAACAGCAACAAAATAATTAACCATATCATTTAGTTTTTGAATAATAGTTAGTTTTTCTTTATTGTACAGTCTTAACTTAAAGAAATGAAAAGAATTCGGCAACAAACAAATTGAAAGAATTTATACTAGAAATCACTAAAGCATTTTCAAAACTATGCTACACACTTAATATCGCATACAGCGAGACCAGAAAATAAATATAAAATGAGACCATCAGATTTGACTTTAAAAATCTAATGATATTTTTATTGTATTGCTTTCCATGAATCTAGTATGGTTATAAGCTTTTTCCAGCATATATTTAACATGGGCACTTAAAGTCTAAAATCACATATTTTACATCCTCTCTCCCTGATAAATGAGATTTTAGTGTTATGGCAAACAGCTAGACTGTTTAAAGCATTCTAATATTCATAAAGAAACATTTGGAGAGAGTCTAGTTAAGAAGTTTATAAATTCATCAGTCAGTTAGTCAGTTTCCGTAAACGTGAATCGCAGTTAACAGTGAAATTCAGGACGCGTGATTCGTTCTTCGTGGGACTTATCAGTCGGATGTCCCTGCACCCTAGATGATGTTTACCCCAGGACTCAAGCCCATTATCGTTTGCATCAAAAGCCATCGTGTTATCCACTTACCCACTGAGTCAAGACAGCCACTGACTTGTGTAATGAGATGGACATATGTCAAAAGAGACCGATCAATTCCAGTCCAACAAATCGATGAGGAGATTCAGACGACCAGTACGAATTTTAACGGTCATTATAAGCAACAATATATAAATCCACTTCAGGTATAGTTGCTTTACAATTTTCACACATCAAAATTCATTTGCTCTAATGAGATTGTCTACGACTGAATGTTTTCGGAGATTTCGGCATTTTCTTCAGCTTTCGTTCACCGTTTATTCAGTAAAAGCCTTTTCTGAGTTGCGAGGGATCAGATGAAGTCAATGGTTAGCTAGAGTCCAGAAATAAATACCTATTTACCTACTCCTGTTACACCCACCCCGTGGATCGTAGGCCTCCGACTGGGGTTCTCCAACCAACTCTAACTTGAACTCCCATTTCCAATGTTTGTCAAGTTTTTCAATTGTTTACTTGAACACAGGCACTGGTACAAGGAGGCGCCAGATCAATATGCGACACACAATAACAATGTGGTAATGAAGAGATAGAGAAAGTAAAGTGCTCATAATAACGAAGAGAAACAACAACAGACGAAAATTAGTATATGATAGTGAAATAGTTCAGTCAGGAAAGATATGGCCAGTAAGAATTCCTTCAGTCACATTAGTTATGTTCGCTTTTACTTAGAGGTTGGAAGATAGTAACAGCAGGATTACCACTGGCTACTATTCCGAGTCATCTGTGATAATGTCTCTAGCCACTGTGGTTCACCATCCGTCGGACCCCGACCACAAAGTCGTGGACGACCAACAGAAGCCAGTCCTATAGAGCTTACTTTCATATCACGAAACCGTGTCATACACTGACTACCTCTCCTCTTTATTCAACCGATCCCAGCGTCAGCAAATAATGCACAACATGGAAGCCTCTAAGATATGGTTGAAGAAACATGGCCAACCCACTGAAGTCTGTGTTTCAA